GTGTCCATGTTTCAACCAACAGCGCAATGAGTTAGAGAGGATTCTGAAGAAGAGAACCCAACCAGAGTCAATAGTAGAGGTAATGTTGTCGTCAGAAGCTGCCTGGAACGCCATAAGCATTTTTGCTACAAAAGTGCTTACTGAGTCTCGATCCATTGAGAGGAAAAGAGCGAAAGACAGAATCTAGAAGGAAGATAACATCTTAGCCCCCAGAAGGAAGAGCGGCAGCTAATTCCTCCCCCTGCGAAGAAATGCCTTACGGCGGTACCATGGGGGATCAGAGGATAGAAGAGAAAGGGGTTTAGGGTTTAGTGGGTAGGGGCGTCAGCGTCGAGTTTTAGTATGACGCTGCGTCGAGTCGCCACATATCCGGGCCAACATCTATGCCTAGAATCCGTAAAAAGGATTACCCCCCCCGCCATAAGGGAAAAAAAAAAAAAAAAAAACTCACACACACACATGCATACATACATACATACATACATACATACATACATAGTCAGGGAAGCTTCCTGTGACCTTCAAACTCCGAGATCTGATGAAAACTCGATTTTTGCAAAACGGGGTAAAACCAATAACTTCCCGATTTTTGAAAATCTTAGATTTTCTTACCGGGAAGTTAAAAAGTAAAAAAAGTATCTTTTTCCAGTACATGTTGACATGCGTCGGTGAGGTATCTTACAATTTTAACCTAGGGTAATGAGATATAGTCAATGACCTGTTCGAATCATTGTAAATACAATTTATTAGCTGTCTATTAAAAGTGTTATTCGGTTCCATTATTTTTTTATAGATTTATAATCTAAGAGAGAAGACCCGTATTTATTTTTACCATCTAAACTAGTTGCTAATTGCAATTAATAGACTTTAAAATCAGAATCAAACTTCTGAAAAAATTGCAAGTGATATGTATTAAATTCGTAAAAAATTTGGTAATTGTTTAGTTTCATGGCTGACAATACTACAATTCAAAAATTTACAATTATTTTGAAAACTGATATTTTTTTTTAAGTTCATCAAAATTAAATAATTAAAAGAAAAGAATTGAGGAAAATGTCAATTTTTCGATGAAAAAAAAATCTGGAAATCGGTTGATCAAAATGTATTTATTATACAACTATAACTTTTGAATGCCTCGTTCGATTTTCATGTTCAAAAAAACTTTCGACTCAGTTTTTTAAGCATAAAGAATGAATACATGGTTTTATTATGATTTTTTCGCACGCTTCAAAATTACGTTAAAAAAAATTAGGAAAACGGTTGACCCTAAAGACCATCCCTGCAACTTCCCGCTAATTCAATACTTTTTTTTTTTTTTTTTTTTTTTTTTTTTTTGGCGAGAGGAGGGAAATCATCAAAAGACACCGGTTAGATGTTAGTGATGTTGGTTGCCGGTAGTGTGAGATTTTTACTCACTAAAACCCTCCCCTCTCTTGTACCTGATACTGCGGGATCGCGTTAGTCTTACTTCGCAATACCAGGCCCCCTCCACGCTGCTCCTGCAGCTTATTCCTCCGCTTCTTTTTATTTCTTCGCTTCTTCTTATTCCTCCGCTTCTTCTTTCTCCTCTTTCCTCTTCTTCAGCAGGACCTCTCTTACATATCCCTTCATTGCCGCCCAGTTGTTTATCGACTTCAGCATCCAAGGGACGACGTCTCCAGGCTTTTGAAGCACTTCCTTCTCTTCCTGCCAACGCAGCCGTATTTCAGACCAACGTTGGCAGTCAAAAAAGGTGTGCTCGGCAGAGTCAGCAACTCCCGGACAGTACACACAGTAAGGGTCGTTTCGGATCCCCATACGATGTAGGTAGGCATTGAACTGTCCATGACCAGCAAGAAACTGTGTTAGATAGTAGTCTATCTCCCCACCATCCCCTAGTACCCAGTCACGGATCTGCCCAATGAGCCTGTACGTCCAACGCCCTGTTTCCCTAGTTTCCCAGCGCTCTTGCCAGAGTGCAAAGATCTCCTCCCGTTCGCGGGTTCTCACGTCTTTTAAAGGTCTTTCGCCAGCCCATCGGGCATCCCAGATCCGCTTCCTCTCGAGACTCAGTAGGTCGATTGGAATTACACCCGAGATGACCAACACAGCTGCCTCTGAGACCGTTCGATAGGCGCAGGCTATCCTCATCGCACCTCTTCGTTGTACCGATGCCAGTTGCTTCCGATATTTCTCTACTTTGAGTGCCTCTCCCCATATCTCTACTCCGTAGAGCATGATAGAGTTAGCGACACCCATGAGAGCTCGTCTGCGGCTGCTCCTTGGTCCCCCGACATTTGGCATAAGCCGGAAAAGATTTGCCACCGTCGTTACTGCTCTTGTGGCCACACTGACAATCTGGTCTCGAAACGTCAATTTCGAGTCGATTGTCACTCCGAGGTATTTCAGAGCCCCCCGACTCTCGATGTGTTGATCCACAACTTGAGTCTGGAAAGGGTTCAGAAACCACCTCTGAGCTGTGAGTACCACCACCTCCGTCTTCGTAATGGCCAGCATCAACCCATGATCGTTAAGCCATGCGTTGATGGAGGCCGCAACAAGCCTCATCAATCCTTGCGCTTTGCCTTCGTTTCGCGCAAGTATTAGTGCTGCCACGTCGTCAGCAAAACGCTCCAGCTTTACCTCCTGCGGTAGATCTAGGCGCAGAAGTGCATCATAAAGGATAACCCAGAATTTTGGCCCAAGGACTGAACCCTGAGCTGCTCCTCCACTCAGCTCCTTCATGACCTGTCCTGCAGTAGTCTCATACATCAAGTAACGATCATTTAGGTAATCATTTATGATGCGAATGAGATACTCCGATAGACCTAATTTCCGAAGCGCCCTCATTATATCCAGCCGTCTTGCTGAATTAAATACATTTTTGACGTCGAACGTCAACATAATGCATACTGGACAGCAACGATGATGACCCGTCCAGGCCTGTTGAGCAAATGAAAGCGCTTCCGAAATGGCACCAATTGTACTGCGAGCCGGCCAAAAGCCATGTTGGTTTTCAGCCAGGCCACCAGCATCGGTCACTTCTTTCCGCAGTCGATTCCTAATAAGGGCTTCGAAAATCTTCCCTGCGACGTCTAACATGCACAGTGGTCTGTAGGAGAGGATGTATAGGGCGGAACCTTACCTCTATCTAACAGAACCAACTGTTGCAGTTTACTTCTCTTTGGAAAGACTCCAGTCGAGATGCAGGCGTTATAAGTATCAAGGAGCAGTTGTTCATGCTTTTTTATAAGGACCTTACAGGCCTCGACGGGGATGCCGTCAGGACCCGGGGCCTTACCTACCTTGAGGAACTTAACAACTGCCCGCAGCTCCACTGCTGTGAAAAGTGGGCACTCGTCATCGGATATTACACTTTGAGTGCATACCCGTTCTTCGCGATCGGGAAACAGAGTTCGGACTATTTCCTCCATCTTATCGGGTTCCATAGGAGCTATTGAACCGCGACCAACAAATTTGCGAGTGACGATCCAGTAGCCATTGCCCCATAGATCATCATCCACTTCTCTGCAGATCGCCTTCCAGCACCTCCCTTTGCTCGCCTTGATCTCCGTGACGAGTCGCTTCTTCGCCGCTTTGTACTCGTCGTTCTTTTGCTGCCCAGTATCTCGCTTTCGCGACCTAAGTGCTTGCTTCCGAAGACGCAAACGCACCTATCACTATCTCTCCTTCAAGATGGCGAACTACTCGCTCGAGGTTGTCAACCTTCTTTCGGAAATCCGCAATAGGCTCGCTGGGGGTGAAATAACACGACACGAAGGTAACTGCTGGTGTCACGACCCACACAATGCCGTCCCTCGATCCACTGTTACGCACAGAAAGGCGACTTCGATCCGGAACCCAAACTGCCGCTGTGCCCGTAGGGTCACAGTACCAATTTGGCCCAGACACAGAATGGTATTGCTCTGATACCAGAACAATATCCACATCCCGTTGTCACGATTTCTAGCGTAAAGCAGATCAAGGGGCAGTTTGCACCGATGTAGATTCACCTGCAGAACCTTAGCCATTTTTCTTTTGGAGTACCTCCCGATAGGTTGTACACTGTCCAGAACCTGCCACGTGATCGAAGGCTCGCCCGCTTCCCACCGCTTCACATAGATGGCAGCGCGGAGGCTTGATACAGGTCTTCGATTTGTGATCCGCCTAACCGCACCGCCAGCAGCAACCACTTCGGTCCTCCCCTACCCTGCACGAGCCGGCTAAGTGGCCCAGTCCATGACAGCGGTAGCACCGATCGAGTCGCTCCCAACGGCGGATTCGGCGAACTAGCAAGCCGACCTTGGCCTTTCCCAAGGTCTCCAAGGCTGCAGCAGCCCCAAGTCCAGCCCCGATGAAAGCGCCGACGGATCCTCATTTATTGGGTTTCGTGATGGACACGTTGAGTCCATCCGCAGTCTCACCGATAGTTTCCGCCAAGGCCGCCTTAACCTCTTCGACCGTCGTAGCGGAGTCCATCCCGTCTATTACCAACGTAGCGGTAGGGACAAGATGGTGCACCTCCACGTCTCCTCCGGCTACGTCAGTGATCTTATTACCGAGTGCCGAGCGATCTTTAACAGATCCCTCGAACTCAATAAGAAGACCACCTTTTCTGGCAGTTCTCACGGCCTTAACCCTTAAACCCAATTCCTCCAGATGAAGTCCCAAGCGCAAAGCCCTCAGAACTTCACCAAAAGACCGGGACTCACCTGGGTTAATCAGCACCGTCTCCGGTCGTTGCTTCCTCCTCGGCCTCCGTTCGTCCTTGGCTGCCGTCGTCGGCTTCGTACCTGGTCCTAGATTTGGCGTCCTGGTACTTGGTCCTGCCGGCACCACTGTCACTCCCTCGTCCCATGCTCCTTCCTCCAATTTTTTCTTCTTCTTTTTCTTCTTAGATTCCACCAGTTGGAACGTCTCCTGCGGCTTCATCTAGCTGTCAACCTCCATCTTCCCTTGTGGTCTTACTTCTACTTGGGGGTTGTCTCCAGTGCGCTGTCTTTTCCCCCTGACAGTTGCCACTGTGAAACTTCCGTTCGCCTGCTTTAGTACATTCTTTTCCGGTCCCTCTGGTGGACTCATCGCCGGTCTCTTTTTATTTTCCGAGATCGGCGTCTGTGCTGCTACTGCTTGAAAGGACTGACGCTGGCTTCTCAGATCTTCGAGAAGCCCCTGCCTCTCCTCCATCTCCTTCTGGGACAGCTCTCGTTGAGCTGTCTTCCAGGTTCTACGGCTTATGAGGCTTTCTAAGAGCAGCCTCTGTGCCTCCCTTACACCTTTGGTGACCGCGCTTGATACCGTCCGTTTAACTTGGATGGTCTAGAGTGGGTTACATGATAAATGATCCCGCGATAAATGATCCCGCGACAATATATCTCCCCGACATTGTATCCCCGATCTTGTCACTGACCTGTCCACATGACAAATTTAAAATACAAATTAATATTTGTTATTTGCCGTAAAATGGACGGTGGCGTTCACTCAAGTCAGGTTTAATAGGTGACTAAATAGTAGTTACGGACAAGCTCTCGGATAGCTTAACTGGTAGAGCCTTTGGCGCGTAACCGAACGATCCGGGTTTGATTCCCGGTCCGGGCTGTCCGAATTATTTTTTCAGTCACCAAAAAGATTCCTACTGAGTGAAAAAAGGTCCTCCCCTTTCCCTTTATCCTTTACTCACCCAATTCCCAAATTTGTCGCGGAAATATGACGCTGACACAGCATTGCGGGATGTAATGTCCTGGGGATCAAATGTCCTGGGATCAATTATCGTGTAACCCTAGAGTGTCTCCCTGAAGAGCTCCTGGATTTCCTCCAGCAACTTATCCTCCTTTCCAATGGCTTCATCCCTCTTATCGAGAAGTGATGCCATCTCTTCCAGTTTACTCCCAGTAGCTGTACTAGACAGAGGGGCCTTATCCGTCAGCCCGTCTGAGCACTGCCAGCCGCCGGTACTGGGGTATCCCTCCCCTGCACCGTAAACGGTGTATCCACGTTGGATGACATGTCCATAACGAATAAGTGGCTGTAATCCTAGCCAGGAGCCCTTACAGAGTGCTACCATCCGGAGCCAGATGTACCCTGGTTTTTTAACGAGGTTGTTACTCCTCCGGCTCCTCTTTCCTCCCTCCGAAAAGAGAGGCTCCGGGCTTGCCACCGGTATAGCAGAGTTAATTCAATACTTAAACGCTCAAAATTGCACTTATTACGTTTTTGAGCTCTTCAAGCTAAAAATATAATTTCCGTATCATTTTGAGCTCTCCGAGCTCATTTGTTGATTCGTTTTTAAGAAACCGTACGACAAAAATTTATTTACAAACACACACACACACGGCTGGACACCTCGGCGGGAATAGTCAGAATGGCTTTCTGGGACTTCAAAACGTGGAGATCTGATAAAAACTCGACTTTCGAAAATCGGACCGAAACAGACAACTTCCCTTTATTGGAAAATTTTCAATTTTCTTAGCGGGAAATTAAAAATTTTTGACATAATGATAAAAAAATATGGTACTAAAAGTAATAGGCGTATAATAATTTTTAAAATTAGAAAAAATAAAATGTCAAAAAAATTTCACATGTAAGAATTCTAGAAAATTATTAGTGAAATTTTTAAAAATATGTTCTTAGTAGTAATTTATTGCTTCAAGAAAATAAAAAATTTTCCAATGTCTGCTGATTTCAGTATCATAAAGAAATTGAAAATCTTAATAATTTACGATTTTTATTATTTTTTGAAGACATCAGACCATTTTTATTAACAATTCTCGGTCGACATAAATTTTTCTTTCGTGTATAAATTTTCTAAAACAAAAATTCCATGTTTCAATTTTAATTTATTATTTTTTCCTTTTTTTTCGATTGAATAATTTAATTTATAGCTCAATAATTTATTGCGGATACACGAGACTAAAAATAAACTGCCTCTTTTAAAATTAAATTTTTTCTTGGGGAAGCTATAGACCGGAAGATTTATTTTCCGGAGTGCATAATATGACAGATCTGGTGACGTCAAAAATGAGCAATTTCCTTGCTTCTAACAGGTGACCTTTAGAAAAATCCTATTGACAGCTGACAAAATAATAAGTAGTTGACAATGAGTGTGTATTTTGTTTCCACGCAACTAACTACGTGATTCTCTGTCGTAGGCAGATGTTTACCGGTAAATAGTATTTTATACAATATAATGCATCATTGTATTGTGCAAAAGTATCATCTATACATTGCATGTATAGTATACATATATTGACACATAATAGTACTGGTGATGGTGAATAGAGCTGTATACTCTTCCGTAGACCACGCTCTTCTCTACACTGAGCAAAGTCTACGAAAGTCGTTTGCAAGATTTTTGCGTGGGAGCTACAACTTCACCGGACACAACTAACTCTATTTATTCTCTCTAAATAATAAATAATTTCATTTTTTCCCACTTAATTGTTATATAAATTTTAATAGTATACAGAAAGTTTTGAATTAAAAAAAAAAAAAAAAAAAGTAACAAACAAGTACAAGGTAAAATTGTAAATAAAATAAATAAAATTGAACTACGACACTGTTTTGGGGTTTTTTAAAAAATTCAAATCTGTCCACAAGGGATTAGCTTGTGCGTTAAAATTCACCCACATATCTCTCACGAGAATAAAGTTTCATTTAATTCTTCTATCTCGTGTTTCACCACGACACTATTTTTATTTTATTTTTTTATTTTACAACCAATAATTATTATCGATTTTCAAATAAATCGAATCCTAATTGCGTACCTCTAGTACTATACCCGATTTATTCCGATTATGGCTATATATATTTATATTTTCCACAAAGTATAACATAACACTAATATATGTTATTTAAAGAATTGTAAGCCTTGACACTTATTTTATTCATTCATTTTTTATAAACGAATAAGTAATTGAAGTGGTTAATGAAAAATTTTTTTCGTTGACTTTTTACCGGCTTTTAATTTTATACGAGAAATTTAAATTATTCGCACTCGAATCTTAACTAATAATGAATTGGAAGCCATTATTTTCAATAATTTTGGTACTAAATAACGTAAACTCAATCGTGGATTTTATATTACAGAACTCTGGTTAACTTGCGGAATCAAGATAGTTTGCATGAGAATTTTTTACTCAAAAGAGGTGTGTAGTGAAGGGTCCGGTAGCTTAAGTGGTAGAACTCTGAACGTGTAATTAGGGAGGTTCGGATTCGAGTCTTGGCTTGGTTCTGAGTCCTATATTTGTTCAAAGTTATTCTTTACTTTCAATCAATTTTTAACGTAATTATTATTTGGTCAATACTCAAACAGATTCTTACAATACTTCCAGATCAATAGAATTTAAGTATGGATAGTATTGCATGAATTTATGTAAAGCGACGAAATATCTCGATCTTAACTATAGCAATATGAACATTTTCAATCATTTTTACTTGAATAACATTACTAGGCAAACCAATAAGGCTTAGAAAATTATCTTCAGTATTAAATGATCTTACGATTGATAAAATATGTTTTTTTTTGCCCGCTCATAGCGCGAAGCGCGTGAGGTTGTGCTTTTTACTCGACTCGTCAAGGTCAAGCAATTTTGTGTGATCTTTATCACAGGCATCTTTAAATGCCTCTATTACAACCATATTACACTTATACAATAATATAAGTAGATGTACACCGAAAAAACACTTAAATTAAACCATCTTTTACTTTCTGAAATCATTTTATGTTGCTATTTTGAAAATAAAACGTTTTGAAAAAAATTTTACGTGGACGTCCGGATGTCACCCCATTTTGGATGTACCAACGATTACTTCCGAACAAATTGATATTTCAAGACCGGATCTTTTTTATTAATTTAAGAATTCGATGAATTGGGTCCGTATTTCATATCAGTGGCCTAGTTTACGTATTTTTTTTTAATTGAATTTTTATTAAAATTTACTACGATACAACCGTACAAAGCAAACGAACTTTTCTTATTTGTCACGTGAAAACTATGGAGCCACTTGATGAAGCTAAATTTTTTTAGACTGCGTGCGCATATGACAAGAAAAATGGGCGCCGATATTTACAAAAAAAAATTAGAAAAACGGTAGACCCCGAAGGCCATCTGTGCAACTTCCCGCTAATTCCATACCTAGGTGCATAAAACTGCACTAATGATGTTTTTGAGCTCTCCTAGCTCAAAAATACAATTTATGTGTTATTTTAAGCTCTTAGAGCTTAAAAAGATGGCTTTTCTATGCTTTTGAGCTCTTCAAGCTCAAAAGTCTGATAGAAGTTTCATAGAACAATATTTTTTTAATTTTCAAACCACACTAACTTTTGAATGGATCAACCGATTTCCACGCGGTTGGCAGCATCTGCCGCAACTTTTTTAGTTTCATGAAGAATCTTCAAGTTTCAATTGATAAAACTAGGAAATTTAGAGTAATTCCAAAAAAACACTTTTTTCGGTTTTCTTTCGTTCATGATATCTCTCGAACGAATTGACTAATTTTGACCGGCTTAGTGGCGATCGACGTAAGTTTTTCATGCTAATAGCTGATTAGTTTTTGAAATTGATCAGTGCAGCCGTTTAAAAGTTATTCCAAAAAATGTCGGAGTTATATTAAAAAAACACTTGTTTCGAAATATGTTATCGAGGATATCTCTCGAACTAATCAACCGATTTCTACGTTCTTGGCGGCGATCGACGCGGTTTTTCAAGCTCTAAAAATTATTTTATATCATCAAAAACGATCCGAGATGAAATGACGAAGTTATGTCAAAAAAACACTTTTTTCGGTTTTCTTTCGTTCACGATATCTCTCGACCGAATCAACCGATTTTGACCGGATTAGTGTCGATCGGCGTGGTTTTTCAAGCTTAAGGGCGGAGTAGTTTTTAAAGTTGATCGATAAAGCCGTTTAAAAGTAATTCCAAAAAAACCACTTTCGAAAAAAATTTTTTTCTCATTTTTTTTGAGATTGTTCAAAATTTCTCAAAATCTATCGGTCCGAATCGGTTCAAATTTACAGGAAATTTAAGTTTGAGGAAACTCTTTAGAACGCCGTTTAGTAGATTCGGATCGGTTTAGTCGTTCAAAAGTTATAAGTGAGTCACATAGTCTCACACACACACACACACACACACACACACACACACACACACACACACACACACACACTCGCCTACGGCTCGTAGCGAC